CTCGATTTGGCTTCGCGTGATGTTGTTTCGCGTGCAATGACCATTGAAATAATGGAAGGTCGTGGGGTTGGCAAGGACAAGGATCATATCTATCTGCAACTTCATCATATTCCTGCAAAAGATTTGCATGCAAAATTACCAGGTACGGATTGCTACTTGCCTTAAAATGAGCGGTAATTTTTGCATATTTGCCTCATGTAGAGCCCAAACAATGGACAGGCGGTGAGTGCTAATTTGAGAGTGATGTTCCCCATCCAGGTCAGTGTTGGTGCACTGAAACCCATCCCCCAGGTAAGTGTGGTAGCCGCGCACGGGCCCGCCAAATTTTTTTTTTTTTCGCTGAGTTCATAACTCGGGAATTTGAAAAGCTAGAACGCCCAAATCTCGGCGTGATGTTTCCCATCAAAGTCGGTGTTGATGCACTGAAACCCATCTCCCAGGTAAGCGTGGTAGCTGCGCACGGGCCCGCCAAATTTTTTTTTTGGTGAGTTCATAACTCGGGAATTTGAGAAGGTATTTGCCTCAAAATCGGAGGACCTGGGAAAGAATCTTAATAATATCAATAGCATATTTTTCTTAGGCCGATTGTCTGAGCTGTCTTATGATTGCCGTGAAATCAGATGATCAATTATCGCATAATTTTATAGGCATTATGGAGACAGCGATGATATTTGCGGGCGTAGATGCTGCAAAAGAGCCAATACCTGTTCTACCAACGGTCCACTATAACATGGGCGGAATTCCAACAAATTACATGGGACAAGTACTGACGCATAAAAGCGGCAAAGGCGATCAGGTAATCCGACTTTATTTTTATGAGTTTTGTGCTATGTAACAGCAGTACAAAACGCATATTGTCATGGAGTTGTTTGTGTGTGTTTGTGTGTGTGTGTGTGTATGTGTGTGTGTATGTGTGTTCGCAGCAACTTGTCTGCAACTTTCAACTCGGGAACCGCAAAAGCTAGAAAACTGAAAATTTATGGGAATGTTTCACACTCACGTGTGACCCCGCAAAATTTAAATTCAACCTCCCCGTACCTGCGGGTAACAAGTACAGCCCTGTAAAGGCTTTGGTGGGGAAAATTATTATTGGAAACCACGGAAGCTAGAAAGCTGAAATTTTATGGGTACGTCTCCCAGCCACGTGCGATCCAGAAAATTTAAATTCAGAACAGTGAAAATCATCAACAAGCAATAATCGTTCTGTGGACGGAATTGCGCAAAACGCATGATCGCACGGGCTATCCTGGTGCGCGCCGCTATTTATTTTTTTTTTCGAGAGAGAGAGAAGATGGGAGTTTTTCACTAATATAGTGAGTTCGCATATGGAATCCTGACAAACTTCGTCACACAGCAGTACTGTGAATGTTTTCGAACAGAACTAATGTGGAAAAAAAAACCGAGAACCAGATCGATCTGGATTTGTCCAGTTTTTTTCCTCAGCCCCTTATGCTCACCCATTTTCTTCGTCCTCATCACCGGTGCAAATCATAATTCAGTTCCCTTTTCATCGATCGAATCCTAATATACCATTTTGTAGTTGGTGCCAGGACTGTACGCCTGTGGAGAGACAGCAGCACATTCGGTGCATGGCGCAAATCGTCTTGGAGCAAATTCGTTACTCGATCTTGTTGTATTTGGACGTGCATGTGCTATTGAGTATTATTTTTTCAAAATTTCTTCATTTTTATTTTTCAAATTTCACCGTTTTTTTGCCGAAGTTTTCAAAGCATTTTATTGTTTTACAAGCAGCGTGCAGGATATCATTGCAACCATACGAGAAAGTAAAAAATTTATTGTGTGGACAGTGTTGCTTACTTTGCTGATAGCTGATGCATGGCACGTTTCAGTGAGTGGTTACAATGATATCCTGCACGCCGCTTATAAAATCATAGAATATTTTGAAAGTAAATAACCGTTTTGAAGAGGTAAATGGCCATTCGCGCATATACAGAACAGGCGATGGGTACTAACGATAGGGATGCAACTCGGAATTTGAGGGTCTGCCTTATTTTGTCGCATCAATAACGGGGGACCTTAACCTTACACGAGATGATCGTCGTATTTTTGATTTATGTTTTTGAAAAGAAGGCATTATTTTCGGGAAATATCATTGTAACTATATCTTAGGGGTTAAGATTAAGATTAATGTCGATCGAGAAGTTTTTCAGTATCCTGGAAAAAGCGAAGAAATCGGATGAAAAGATTCCGGATTTACCGAAAGGAGCTGGCGAATCAACGATTGCAAATGTGGATAGAATGCGCTTTGCAAAGGGCGACATCCCCACTGCTGCTCTTCGGCTGAAAATGCAAAAAACAATGCAACAGCATGCTGCTGTATTCCGACGTGGTGACATCTTACAGGTTTGTTTTGAAAAGCGCCCACAGCTAGAGCCCTGTCTATGTTGGTACCGCTTTAAACTTTCTGCCAATTGGGAATTTCTCTATGGAAGTGGGTAAATACACGTGAAAGTCATATGACTGTAGCTTACACGCAATTGCTTGTGAATAAATTCTTCGGGAGATTCGAATAAAAAATAATTTCCGTCTCGCAGATGGTGCTTATTTCTGAAATGTTTATGAACTGCGAGGGAATCGAACCACTCGTCTTCACATTCGGAAGCAAGATGCTAGACCACTGCACCACTGGGCCCCTGTGCTCTGCGCATCTGCTGAAGCACCTTACGCTGTGTGTATGGCACTCCCATGCACACTGTGTATTGTCTGGCTCCTGCAGGGTGTGTGACACACCCTTTCAACAGTTGCCGGCTTTTCGCAAGACTTCCGCGACATTTTGTAATCAGAACTAATAGCTGAAGTTGCCGGAGTTGCTGGAAATGACTGGCGTATATAATGAGACTTTTTTTTTGTTATCGGATCTCCGTTTGGCGGTCGGGATGATATTCGATTTATACATTTGAACAGTTCTAAAGCAGTTACATGAGCAACTGCCATATCTGTACTACTCCATGGATACGAGACTTGAAATATGACGAAAAAAAGAATAGAAAATAGGCTAGTAATGACAAACGGATTAATCAGACAGATGATTGTTAGGATGCTGTCAAACAAAGTGCAATAAACATAGGCAAATTCAGGCAGCCTCTGGGGGAGGGCGAGGGGAGCAATGAGCGGAAGGAGAGGGGAAGAAGGAAAAGGAAGTGGACCTCCTGGTGCGGCGATAATTGGGGGTAGGGCGACCGAGGATGTTGAAGTGAGTTTTCTACAGTTTTAGCACTGCTACCTGTACCGCTAGAGGCGAGGGGGGTGGGGGAGGGAGGGGGATGCCTGCGCCAATTTTTTAAAGTTTTTTATAAAAGTAATTTTTAAAAAGTTTAAAAATTATAATTTTCCATTTTCTCTTCTTTTTTCTTTCTTTACGTTACTTTCTAACTACTACTAACTTTCAAATTCATTTATTGGGATGTCAAAAGCGTTATCAACAAATTTTCTTCAACTGTGGTCGTGGTTTTGCGTTCTCACGTTTTATTTTTAGGAAGGAATCAAGAAGATGGAGTCTCTTTTCAATGAGCAAAAGCACCTGAAGACAACGGATCGTGGTCTTGTCTGGAATTCAGATCTTGTCGAGACACTTGAGCTACAGAACCTGATGTTAAATGCTATGCAGACAATTGTTGCTGCTGAGGCTCGGGAAGAGTCTCGAGGGGCACATGCTCGAGATGATTTCCCGGTGTGTTTTATGACTGTTACTGTCTGCATGTATGGGTATAATCTCCCCGAACTGAATGAAGTTGTTGACGGTTATCCCAAGGTTTTTGGGTAGATCTGCGGATAAACTTGAGTCAACAAAGAGAAGAAAGCTCTGTGAAAAGCGGATAAAAACCGGGGCAGACTTAAGCTTTTAAAATTTACGCATAAAAACTTGGTAATGCAGAATTTAGCAAGGCTGTACGAGCTAATTTGTCGAGGAAGGGGGGGGGGGGCTAAAATTCTTGTTGGTCAAATACATTTGCCGAGCACAACTACAGTTGGAGAAGATGAAATTCCTTTTATGGTTGAAGAGCCCGAAGCATAGGAATATGTAATTTTCGAAAGGAAGTGCTTTTTTTTACGATGAAACTGTTGGCTTATTTCAGACACGAATCGACGAGTTGGATTACTCGAAGCCACTGGAAGGCCAAACGAAGAAACCGTTCGAAAAACATTGGCGTAAGCATACCATAATTGAACAGAATACTGATAGTGGAAAGGTACGTTCATAATTATGTAAAAAAGCAGAATAACTGTGGTTTGGAAGTTATGGGTAAGGCAACAGATTTTTGATTTTTAAGTGAAAAGAAATTATTGTTTTACGGTAGCTGCGCACACAAAATACACGGCGTAAATAATTATAATTTTTTTTTTTCTATCTTCCTTTTTCCTTATTCTTTTGCCTTTTTCTTTCTTTCTGTACATTACTTTCTGTTTCAAATACACATATGTACACGCGCACACACACACACGCGCACACACACACATACACACACAAACACGCACACACAAACACGGACACAGAGACTATGTTGAACTTCTGAGTAAATCAAAGGCTTACCAAGAATAGGTTATCCTTGTCGTCTGTTGCGGTTAGCCGCTGCGAATCAGTGGTGAAATGTAATCGGGGTAGAGATATTGATCGAAGCTGTGGATAGCTTTCGTTCGATTCGGGAAATTAGGCCTAGAACAGATGCGAATACGATCGCCAAGAGCTTAAGAAATGTGTCGAGAATGCAGGCGTCTCGAATCTCATCGAAAAGCAAGAGTGCCTGGCACTCCCCGTGACATCGCATGCTCCATTCCTCGCCAAGGCTGATCACAGCTTCGTCCCTTGAGATGGAGCCACACCACTTGACCGCCGAGAATGATGTAATTCATCATTTTCTATTGTCAAGTCGAATCGAAAGGCAACTACTAGAACTCGGCTCGGCTATACCCGGCGTTCGGCTATTAGATCGCATGCATTATGGAGAGGAGGGAACGGCAAAGAAAAGGAAGGGGACGTTGCACGTGCATGAGAAAGCGATGTTAGTTGGTAGATGCCCGAATATAGCCCTCAAGGGGCACCGATTAAAGCAAGATAGAGGAAAGGAAGAAGGGGGGCTAGTGAGGAGTAGTAGGGAACGAGTAGTAGTGATAGTTGTCTGGGGGATGGGGCAGTGATAAATATCCAAATGCCGCTCTGCAGGCAGCGTTTGGGAGCAGGATAGAGGAGGCGAACAAGCTTATTTACGAAACTGTTTATGAAGCTGATGCTTGGGTAAAACTGAGAGCCGAACCGTGTTTTAGTAACCACCTCGAGACGTCGTCAGAAATAGTGCAGTGGAGAGGGGCGACTGAGACATAAAGGAGAAACGCGAAATATTGAGCACTTTGAAGAGGCTTTCTTCTTCAGCGATAGACAGACAGATGAGGGAACCTATACACGTTGATTCTAATGTGAGGTGTTTTTTATGTATATGACGTAATGGAGATAAAGCGATCGTGAATAATTTTTTGCAGCGTAAAAGAACTGAAAATATCCACATATCTTTATGTTAATGGACTGGTAGAGAATAATATAACACTACTTTTCACCGAAAAATTGACCCTGCTTGGTTTGACTAAGAAATCCCAGCTCATATTGCAATTGGGGGAGAAGCAGCTCATTCAAGTAGCTTTAAAAGTATTTTTTGCCTGAATTAATAGTTTGTTGCCGTATACATGAGTAAAAATTTTTAAGGGATGGGTTTTTTGCGTGTGTGGATCGCTGTGTGGCGCGGTGCGTAAACTAAAGGGCCAATTAAGGAAATAAAAAGTTTTATTTCTTGTTACGGCACAGGCAATAGCAATAATACACAAAGCGTGACACTTGGGCTCTGGCGAACAGGATAGCCTGCTGAGCAGGGCATTTAGCAAGGGAGTTCCGAGGTCGAATGATTCTGGCTTCGAAATAAAGGTGTCCGAGTCCCAGTAGTGTCCGAAGATTGCGATGGCGGGAGTCGTAGCTGGCGAGCCGGTGTTGTTGCTGGTCGGAGAAAGTGAAATCGATGAAGAAGCTGAGCCCAGAAGAATGGTAGGGAGGTTTGTAAAGGGAGTTAGAGCCCGCCGCGTGGGATAATGTAATGATTTGGAGGAAATTTTAGGAATTTGGAGAAAAGGGAGATAAACGGAGATGATAAAGGAAAAGGGAATAGGGGTAGGGGCGAAAAGAAGATAAGTGGAAAACGAAAAAGTTTTTATAGTTATAAAAAAAGGAGGGGCAAAAATGGAGGAAAATTGTAAACACACAGAAATGCAATTGGCACTCCTGATTCATTGGCAAAAAAAGCATAAAAAATATTACATAATTTAAAAATTAAAATTAGATATTTTACACAAGCTAAAGTTGCTGAAAGTGAAAACGCTAACAGTTCGGTTAGAATCAGGTATTTTTGCCCATTTATCAAGTGAAAGACCTAGGAAAGCAGCTTAAAATTAACTTTTCCTACTTCCAGGTTACGTTAAGCTACAGACCAGTAATTGATCAGACATTGGACAAAAGCGAAACCGACTGGGTACAACCAATGGTTCGATCTTACTGATCATGGGTGTAGCCGATATTATCGGTCCTGCCGCTGCGATCCACGGATTTGATCGGTTCTGTCTATATCACTGTTCGATGTTTAGTTCTTTTTCCTCTCTGTCACACTTAGGCTTCCTGTGCATAATTATTGGTTGTGGAATGAACTGCTGGCAGTTTTACTTTTGGCTCTTATTTTGGACAAAAAAGCCCCTTCATGCCCCAGTTTTTCCCATGAAAAAAAAAAAATTCTGGCTGTTTTCGTGGGCAGAATATCTGACTTATGTTTTGTTTTTCTT